GAATTTGCTCTGTAAACTTTCACCCAAATCACAATTAAAAAAAAAAAAAGAAAGTGATGAAACAGTGTGTAGAGCTGGCTACCACTCTTTTTAAATGCGTGGAGACAAATCTAGAGGGATACACCAAAACAGCTATTTCCAAGAGTTCTTTTGGTAGGGAGGAGTTCCTGGAAATTTTTGATACCCATGTTACATTATTTCTATAACGCTTTGAGATTCTATGATGGCCACTTACTACTTTTGTAATAAGGAAAAGTAATAGGGACAATTTTTAAAGGAATGTTGCATACTCCAAACACCCCTAATTTTCTTTCAACAACCTATGGATTTAGATGCATTCATCTATATGAAACTTCTTGAGCCTCTTTATATCTGAACATGTCAGAAAAACCAAAATCCCAGCACACAGCTACAGGAGCATTTTAACATCAGCTCACCATTCTATACAAAGACATGCCTACTTGTCAAAGAGCTGCTTCTGGGCATTCCTTTAACAGAGCGACTAGCCTATGTGCAAGTCAAGGGCAGAAGAAACATTTGAGATGATCAATTGCCTTTGCTGTGGTCTCCTTGCTGCTATTCAGAGCCTACGGATTGCACTGCTGTCGCCTTTCCAAAGTTGAGCCCAAGCAAGTCTTGGACTACTCAGCATTCCTCACTTGAAACATTGCAAGTTCCCTTTGGAATTTGGAATTCTTGAAAGTGGGTTGTCCTAAAATAAAAGGCCTTATACGTCCTCACGCATCGGCCATCCTTGCCTTTCACACTTTAAAACATGATTTTAAACAACAAAAATCAAGCAGACAAACAAAAATCACAGCTTCATAGAAGTTTAGGACTAAAGGGGGCATCGGAGGTCACTCTGCCCAATTCCACTCTTTCCCTTCTTTATTTTCTTCCAGAGTGTTCTCCAACTGGCTCAGTGCCTCACTGTAATCATACAAATGTCTTCATTCTGGAAAGGGTCTATATTCAGAAGGGAAGATGTGACTGAAAATGCAACAGTCCTAAGACTCAGACACAAAAACAAGGAAATCCTGTTTGGATATGAACAGACCCAAAATGCCCGTCCAGTTGCCCTTTGACCCACTGTAGATGACCCTCACGTACCTGCTTTTAATTTGGGTAGCTAGATTAGTAAGAACAAATTCACTGTCCAGAAATATAGAATTCAACTGTAAAAGACAAAAAAGAAAACAATCACCTAAAACATCAGTTTTATTATTCCCACTCCTCTATCTTAGCCCAGCAAGGTCACCTGGGACAATGTGATCATTAGACTGCATTCATTATTTTGGTTGGCTCAACATTTCTAACAGGCTCCGCTCAGTTTTTCAATTTACATTTTACCCACCCATTTTCAAGCACTATAATCAGGTCATATACACTTCAAAATAAATGCTGATGAGCAGAGTGGGGAAACAGACACTCAGTCACTGTTGGTGGGGGGTGCAAATTAGTACAGCCTATCTGAAAGGCAATTTAACAATAGCTATTAAAATGTAAAATGCTCATGCCCTTTGATCTTGCCATTCCAATTCTAGGAATTTATCCTCAATGTCCACCAATGGATGTCTGCATTGAAAGGTAAACAACTAAATTACAACCATCTAGTGAAATGTCATGCATCTGTTAAAGTGTAGGAGGTTGATCTGTACTTACCTGCATGAATATGCTCCAAGATACATGGTTAAGAGGAGAAAAAGCACGTTTCAGAATAGCATGCTTAGTAAGATTCCACTTATTTTTTAAAGGAACATTTTATCTATAGAAAAAAAAAATCTGAAAGACCATACTTCAAATTGTTAGAAGGAGGTACTGTAACGAGTGATATTAGAAAGGACTTCACTTTCTGGGTTTCAGATTTCGATGTCTGAATTTTTTACAGAGAGTAGTTATTACTCTTATTATCAGAAAAATAAGGATAAATAAAACAGTCATCACACTGGAGAGTGAGGAAAACGAAAATGCAGAAAGCAAAAATATTGAAATATGATGCCATATGCTTTGTTATCACTGCTATCCTACTCTCCTTGAATAGGAAAATTTGGCAAAAACTCAGAGAATTCGTGTCAGTGGAGTGAAATGTACAGATCTAAGCAAATTGAAATAATAACATCCCACAAAGGCTTTCAACACTGGCACTATGGAAGAGAGAGAATTGCATACACCCTCATGATGCTGCTCACAGAGCAGGGAGATTTGCTGCAAAAATTAATTAATTAATTAATTAAATGGATTATGGGTAGAAAAAAGTAAACCCTAGTTTTAATCCACTCAGTCTTTGTCTCTCTCTTTTTGCATGTATATATACATATATAGGAGCTCTGATGGCGTAGTGCCTAAGGCATTTGCTAACTAGAAGGCTGGAGGTTCAAACCCACCAGCCACTCCTTGGAAGGAAGACTGGGCAATCTACTTCTGTAGAGATACCACCTAGGAAA